TAGATTTAAGTTGACAATGGCAATAGCCTTCACTTTCTATCGTATTAAATGCCAACATTTACACAGCGCAAATTAGTCATCTATTTGGAACAGACCTAAGCAGCCTTGCGGAAAAATCGGATGGTTTTGGTTCAAATAATTACCGAAATGATTCCTTATCTGTCAGAGCGCTCCCGTAGTCTCTCAAGAAGTGAATTCATATTGCTTACTTACTGACTATTTATTGAGCGACATTTCGCTTCATATAAATTTTTTGCCCCCCATTCCTAAAAGGTAAAACATTATACGGCTCTCTTCCCAATACAAATAGCTCGTTAAATTTGGCAAATTAATCTATAGAGGCCGTATCTATGGGAAGGCGCGAGAAGATCCCATAATTTTGTTTTGTAGAATCGGCAAAATAGTTCCCCGTATGACAGTATTATACCTAGACACAACAATGATCTCTAAAGTAGTGAATTCAGTGTTTGTTTAGTGACAATTTACTGTCACAAACTTGTATGATACTTGATCGAGTGTATAGACCAGTGTCCGAAATCTTTGCCCCAGCGATAAAAATGGGAAACAGTTTCAAACGCAGGTTTGTAAAGAGAGGGGCAGCGCATTGAATAAGAAATTTGCTTTTTACAGCACTCTGGCATCGGTGTTGTTCCTGGAGCTTCGTGACTCTGCATTTCTGACGTTCTTGCACCACGATATGTGCGAAGGTTTCGATAAAAATCAAAGTCTTGCAAAAAGCGCAACCTTCTATACTTTGTCATGGCGTCAGCATAAACAGACATGGCAGCGCAGATGGAACAGAGCAGAGACGGGTCTATATTTCTCGAAACACAGTCCTAAAAGCTAAATTATGCTACATTATTATTTGCTACAGATTGGATCTACAATCCATTAAATCAGCTTAGAAAGGAAACTCCTGTGATATGTAAGTTAATCTTTATAGCAAATCTAGCTTTTCGTGCTTTGTTATAGGGCGGAGATGTACGACATTTTCGGTGAAACGTTAAATTCTCGATAAGCTTTGCAACAGCAGTGTAAACATTAATATGAATTATATGATAGTCAATAGAGAATTGGAAGATTTCTTTTTGTTTCGGGAGAGGGGAAATATTTAATATGAGTTCGGTTGCAAAGTGCCAGAAAAAAACTATTTTCGCGTATCCGGAAAAAAAGCTTATCAAATAAATTTACGCCAGTTATTGCAACACAAAAAGACTGGCTGACTTGACGCAAATGTGAGCTAATATCAGCGCGATTCTTTGCTGTCCTCATTTCTACAGCTTAAGAACTCGAAGTTGCGGCAAACCGAAATTCTTTGAATACCATATATATCAAATCACAAGTCAACAAACGCGCCGCTAGACTTAAGTTGACAATGACAATAGCCTTCACTTTCCATCGTATTAAATGCCAACATCTGCACAGCGCAGCTCAGTCACCTATTTGGAATAGACCTAAAGAGGCCTGTAGGAATATCGCATGGTTTTTGTTGAAACAATTACCAAAATGATTCCTTAACTGTTAGCAGCGCTCCCGTAATCTCTAAAAAAGTGAATTCATATTGCCACATACTGGCAATAGTGGCACATGCTTAAAACATAGTGGCACATAGTGGCACAGGCTTACATAGTGACAATTAATTGAGTGATATTTCGTTGTGTGTAAATTTCTTGCACCTCCCTCCCCCCCCCTTCCCAATTCCTAAAAGGTAAAAAAAAAATGTTCCACCGCTCTCTTTTCAATACACCGTGATTGTTAATCACCGAATCTGCTTACAAAAACAAATTCAGCAAAGTAATAAGTAGAGGCAATACTGTTTTCTGGGGGCAGGCCTGAGGAGATCCCTTTAATTTTGTTTGTAGAGTCCCTCGAAATAATTCCCTATATGAGAGCACCATTTTTTATAAACAACAATGATCTCTAAACAAGTGAATTCGTAGTTTTTATTTAGTGACAATTTGTTGTATGTTAGCTGATTGAGTGTATATTTCTTACAACACAGTCCTAAAAGCTAAACCATAATACATCATTATTTGCTACAAACTGAATTTGCGAACCGTGAAGTAAGCGAAAGTTGAGGCTTCGGCGAGTTGGTACATACTTCGGAATTAAAAACAGCGCGGAAAGACGAGGACCAGACAAAGAAGTGACACGGACGTAGCGCTGACTTACAACTGAGTTTATTGAACGCAAAATCGCAATATATATTTGCGGTGTCACGAACAAAAGAAACGAAAGAATTCAGCCCGTGTGATGCGAAAAAAAAAAAAAGAAGAAAATATCCGTGTCACTTCTTTGTCTGGTCCTCGTCTTTCCGCGCTGTTTTTAATTCGTGAAGTAAGCTTAGAAACGGAACTGCAGTGCTCTGATAGTTAATCTTTATAGGAAAACTAGCTTCTCATATATTTTTATAAGGCAATTTATGGCGCTTTTGGATTATGGTTAGACTATTTATCTGTCTTTCAACAGCGGTGTAAACCGTTATATGAATTATATAATAGTAAATTGTAGATATGAAGTTTTTGTTTCGTTTCGGGAGAGATGAAAGAGAAACCCTACAAAATTCGATAAATATCATTATTTTCCCCATAATGCTAGTTTGAAGTATAGCTTTAGTCTTCATCTGGCAGCAAGAAGGGTTTTGTTGGATCCTAGGTTCCTCACCTTCCTCTTTTCTTGAGGATAAAGAATCGACTGCTTAAAACGTGTGCACATGCCCCACAAAACTGAGGAGCTCAGCAAAGCAAGACATTCCATACTTTAACTTGAAATCAGGGTTTTTGTATCTGAAGGTAGAGAGAGTGCATATTTGCAAAGCTCAGGTGGTACGTTAGTGAGATGTAAAGAATAGGGCTGGGTGTCAATCAAAAATTTTAACCCGACGATCAATCGCCTCACTTTAATCACTTAATTAATTAGAATATACAACAAATTATACTCTTGATGTGTATGTAGTTGGGAACCATTCAAAGATACTCACACTCACAGATTATTACTTCAGCTGCATGAGTAAAAAAAGGTCTTTGGAATTCTCCGGCATGAGCGATCTCCTTTGATTGTTCACAATGGTCTCTACTGCGCAAAACGGACATTCAGGCGGCGATGAAATGCACCGGAGACACGTCTAACCTTCTGTACTTGTCTGGAGTTACACGTCTCGCCCCTACGGTTTACTTTATTCTAAAATTTGACCTAGATTTGCCCTTCATGCAAGCGTACTCGGTCACGTCTGCGTGGTAAAAGCGTTTAATTTTACTTTCTTTCGGTTCGTCATAATGCCACCGATTAACAGGTTAAAAACGTTTAATCACTACTAAAGCATGATTTGATTCATCGGGTGGTTAATTCATAAATTGCCCATTCTTAGTGAAGATACGCGAACTTCAATTAACACTTGGCATAAACAGGCCTTAGTTAGCCAATCGAGGCTGAGGATGTGAACTCTATATGGGCGTGGGAAAGGGCAAGCGGCAATGCAAAAAGTTATCCGTCCTTCTCTCAATTGTCCACCTTGCGGAAAGAAGAAATTCAATCTGCCACAAAATCAGTCTCTCTTAATTTCGGTGCAGGTTCGAGTTCGATCAAGATCTTTCGTGGGCGTGAAATTGCCCGTAGACCCGAGATTGTGTATCTTTCGAAGGGCGCAAGAAAACCTGACGTTTCATTTGACACAAAAGCAGAGCTCGTTTAGGTAGACGTGGTTATTCTTTAACATATCGCGGAAAATGTGTAAATGTGAGTGATTCCAGTCACAACCTTAGAGATATCTTTTTTAACTGCTCCAGCGTAATATATCTAGGTTCATATAACCTTCGCTTATGTATTCGTTTTTTAGACATGCTACGAGTTTGAAGTGAAAGCCATAGGGTGAACAGCCTACATTCTTAAAAATTAGAAGAAAAAAGTTTAAAAAGTAGTTTAATAAAGAACGGTTAAGTGCAGGCGCATTAAGCACGACAATCAGCGTCTAAAGAATTTGCGTACGTTTTTTTATTTCATTTTATGAATTCTCCTACGAAGATGAAATATCCCTGGAGGCAGTCAGTGCAGAAAAGACACCGAAAAGTAACATTTAGAAATAATATTTCAAGTGAGTCGATCCTTTGCACCGCTTTGCTTTATTTAACTGTATTGTATTTTTGTAAGATGCATTTGTCGCGGAAAATTTAGTCGCGGACAATGCATTATGCATTGTCCGCGACTAAATTTTAAACGGAACGTCCCGCAGCGCAATATGGTGCAAACTGTTTTGAGCATCATTCAATAGAAACACGCAAATCTGCCAATTTAAAAGGCCAAGCTTGCAGAATTTTGCAACATTATAAATTCCTTATAAAAAATCAGAATTAGGCTGTGTTTAAATTTGTTATATAATTTTGAAAAGCATTTTTACTAATACTATTCGAAATTGATAACTAGCATAATAAAGAAACACAAAAAAATGGGATCGGATATTGTATTTCAGTGCAGCCTTCCACCGCGAGCAGCATTTTCTCTTTAGTGTTATGCGCCTATTCCTACAAGCTTATATTTAATATGCAAACCAACATTCCATAATTATATTTTGGAAAATGTGAGTTTTACAATTTTTGGATCAGAAACGTTATCCGTGCAAACGGAGTATATTTTAATGCAGATATGCGAAATAATGTTTATAAAAATAGATATTATTATTATTATTATTTCTATTATTTCTCGCGTGTTTTCTGATTGTGCCAAGGGGCGATGAGCCTTGATTTAATCCTACTACTTTTGACAACTTTAGCAGCCCCCTCAAAAACAAATCGTACCAAGAAAATATCACAATTCCCAGGCAAGCATTCGAAAAAAATTACCACCGTTCGTTGGGCGCGCGCAGCTCGAACCGGTTCCATAAACCGAGCAACCCTGCAAAAAGACGGGAGGGGCGGAGTCTAAACGGGCGTCCCTCCGTTTCCATGACGACCGCCAATCAGAATAGCTGGAGCACAAACGACCCGCGACCGCATCATAATGTCACCGCGACTCAGTCTCCCGTCGCTACTGTGGGAAAGCGAAACCACCGGTCGCGTTTGAGCGGGAAGGAGGAGGAGACGACGTAGGGGCCGCAGCCATTTTCCGATAAAGTAGCGGGTCACAAAAAGCAACTACGCACAAAGAGTTGAACGGCAGACACCGCCGCCGCCGCCGCTGCCACCGGGCTCAACGCGCAAGTACCGCCTCCGTGAGGATCGCGGAATCTCCGCCCAGATGGGACTCTCCCCTAACGGCCGTCCCACAAACCGCCCGTGAGGCAGCGGGGCCCCCAAACGCTCCCCGGTCCCAGAAACAGCGTCAGTTCACTTCCCCGACCGGTCCCGCGCGCACCGCGAACGCGTTGCAGAGGACCCCCCCGACCAACCCAACGAACGCCGACGCCAAAACTCGTGATGATGACGTGGTGTTCGCCGTGCCCGTGAATGTGTCCCTGCCAGCGCTACCGGCTCCGAGGACGTCGCCGCTGCGAGTCGCCGTCCCGTCCGTCCCCGTGAACGGATGTCCCACCTGGGTCCGTCCGCCACCAGCACGATGCTCCCGTCGTTCGGCTTCACCCAGGAGCAAGTGGCATGCGTATGCGAGGTGCTCCAGCAGTCCGGCAACATCGAGCGTCTGGGCCGCTTCCTATGGTCCTTGCCGGCCTGCGAGCACCTGCAGAAGAACGAGAGCGTGCTCAAGGCCAAAGCGCTCGTCGCCTTCCACCGGGGGAACTTCAAGGAACTGTACCGGATCCTGGAATCCCATCACTTCTCCGCTGCCTCGCACCCCAAGCTCCAGGCGCTCTGGCTCAAGGCGCACTACATCGAGGCCGAGAGGCTCCGGGGTAGGCCCCTGGGTGCAGTTGGGAAGTATCGGATTCGCAGGAAGTTCCCGTTGCCCCGGACCATCTGGGACGGCGAGGAGACCAGCTACTGCTTCAAGGAGAAGTCGCGGAACATTCTCAGGGAGTGGTACGCCCACAACCCGTACCCGTCGCCCAGGGAGAAGAGGGAGCTCGCCGAGGCCACGGGACTGACCACGACGCAAGTCAGCAATTGGTTCAAGAATCGCAGGCAGAGGGACAGGGCTGCCGAGGCCAAGGACAGGTAGGAGACGACCCTGCAATTGTTTTGGGTTTTAGGTTGTTTTAGGCTGTACATTGCCCGATTCAGTTCGACCTGATATCGTCCAATTTTATATAACCAAGTACCTGTCAAAATGCATGTGCAGTGAATACATTAATTCGTGCGTTTTGTTTCGCAGTTGGTGATATCTCGATTGCCGCCAGGCAGTAAAATAGGTCAGGGGCGCCATATCCATGTGGCTCTGAAGTCTAGCTAAGTAAACCTTACGTGGCTTTATTGATCTCATCAGTGACGACTATTCGAGATTTGCGGTCGCAATATACTGGACGAAGTGCAGCCAAAGAGTGACTTGAGATATTTAAACAGAAGGTACTCGACACCTAAAATTCCTTTTCATTTCGAGCATTTCTTAGCCCACTATGAAACCCTACGACAGTCCAAAGGTTATTATGGCTTTATCCTGAAACGGTCTTGATTAACTGTGATTGAGAAATGTTCTATAGCTGGCGAGTTTTGAAAGATTAATATTGTTCATCTGTAATTTCATTAAGATATTGGGGATAGTAGATTAACCTGGAAAAGGAAAAGTATGATCACGTGTGTTGTATTTGATGTCGTGGACCAGCGTTGTGATCTAGATTGACTTTTTGTTCACCGTGGATATTTCAGAATCTAGGTTAGTCCGCGTACCGGAAATGACGCATGCCATGTAGTGAAGGCACGCTCTGTCCTCAGAATCGTGATCCCGAGATTTCGAGAAGCACTTATGTCGCTGAACACCATGTGCACGCATTAGGAACATTTTATTGTTATTACATTATAATCACACATTGTCCTTTAGTGAGAGCCAAGCAAGCTCATGTTTGCGCGACCTATTCTGAGCCCGATCACATTTTAAGTCCTAATTTTATCATATGCCTTTATTTGTCTTAATGATCATTAATAAATCATAAGGTTGTGTTTATTCATATAAATATCCTTTGAAATAGAGGCACAACCGACGAGTGCGGCGGTTGATGTGTAATAAGAAAGACACAATATGCTAGATTTCAGTGGCGTTTGCCATGTTAATTCTACTACACTTTTATATGAAACGTCGATTTCGGTTCACAAAAACAATGTAAAAACTATACCTGAGAGTAAGTCACAATGAATATCAAGAACCAATGCAGGATGCAAGCATATGGTTCAATGTATTGGTGCCCCCACCGCAGGCATTGCGTAAAAATCCCTTACCATTAGTCAATATGTATGATTATGTCCCCCCGCTGACGGCAAGTCATTCGTTCCGTAAGATTGCATAATCTAGCAGCATTCCCGACAGAACGTTTATACTTTAGGATTTGGTATGCTTAATAAACCAAAAGGTCTACTTATCGCGTCGATCGGGTTTCGGATATTCACAGGTTTTCTAGAAGAAAAACAAAATATTTACAGTGTCCAATTGACGATAAGAATCAATTTCCACACTGAGCAAGCTAAATGGTTTACTGCTTGTTAGATTTATTAGGTGAGTTGTTGCTCTCATATTTTAGACATTTGACGTATTCCCTAGCCAAGATGAAATGATAAAGAAAACTTATACTTTAGTGCCAGGACAAGAAACGGTGAACACAATATGAGATAGGAACCTTCCGTCACATGCTTGAAATGAAAAATACCATGAACTATATTTCTAGAGCTTAAACGACCGGAAAAAATGTTTTGCTTTTTATTTACTCATCTCAATTGCAATATGTTGCCGTTTTGTATACATTCAAACATTTGTGAATATTCGACTTATCCCCAACAAAGCGGCATCTTTTCTGGTTTGTTATTCGCGTAACTTATCTAAAGCTTCACTATAAGTTATCGCCCCCCCCCCCCCCCCCCCCCTGTCTGATCTGTTAAATTCAGCCACACGAAAGTTTGTAGCTTCCATCAATATTTTCTGGTGTTTGTTCACTAGACTGAAACGCGAACTTGTTCTTTAGACATCCGGACGAATTATTGAAGTTCTATAACGAGTTATATTTTCATTTATTTCACAAATTGTCACTTCAGAGCTAGTAGGCACTTCAAGTTTGTACATTCCAAAATACCACGTACATAGCAGAGCAGATGACACACTAACTAACATAACAAAATAAAGAAAACAATGATGAATAACAGATATTGTTTTCTTGTGTGCAATCATATAGGTATCAAGCGTATAAAGTGAAGAAATAAATAGAGAGCTTGATCATCCAAAAAAGGCGACGAAAGACATGCTTTATGGTCGAAATTTTCCCTGTGCAAGATCGGAGACACCTCGATGCCTAATGCTATGGTCAAGAGCAGAAATAAAATATTTGCGACCTTTTACATGATTAACACATCAGAGCTGATAATATAATAAATATTTTTGGCGTTGTGACACATAGAAGTTTGCATCCCTGTGCTGTGCGATAGGCCACTGGTTCTAGAAATCGTGTTAAGACTCAAACGCTAAGGTTATCACAAATAGTTTTGTAGTGATTGATTTGTCTACACTAAGGCAGTTCTTGAACAATCCTGCTTTTTCAAAAGTCGACGTTTGCTCCAGCATTCGCCCTAGATCCTATTGACGAATGCTACTCAATATTACTAATAAGTCAGAAATTACGTGGCAGAATGAGATACGTTTTGTGCTGCACCGAGCTGATGCCTATCAGAGTTGTTGATGGAAAACTTATTTCGTCTTGATCAGCTCTCTATGATTAAATAATTCCAAGCGTCAACTCGTCTAAGCGTAATAAATGAGGAATTTTGATAAATACACGAATGGACGCTACGCGTGCTTCCAAACTGAATTAATTCTGATTATACGGGGAAAAGATTCATGAGAGGCCCTCACCTTAGTTGACTAGGTTGCCTTATCGCTTTCATAAATCTAAGACCTTTTCTTGGGTAAACATTCAAGAATATTTCGATGCCGTAGCAACTATCCGCAGTATACAGCGCCCATCCCATAACCCCGCGCTAATCTCGAACACGACTTTGTTTTGGAGATTAACACACGCATACACCGCCATTACGGAGGCAATAACGAGCACAATTAAATACCCAATGCCTAGGAACACGTTCGAGAAGGCTTCAAGCAGGCGAATACATCGCCGTAAGACATCCACCGCGCGATCGTAATGCAAACCACGTCTTCGTGCACGCCTACGACCGTATCCCCTCGTTCGAGTCGTGTGCGCTACGGAATAGCGTAATGACCCGCTTGTAATTACAGAACGCAATTATACACATCCCGCTAGAGGTATATAGCGCGCTCGTGCGCCGCCGCGATTTTTACTTCTGCTTCGTAGATACGTCTAGCGCCTATCTATTATCCCGCAACATCGTCTGCTTCCCCCCCGCGAAAAGAAGCGTCCCGGATTGTACATTAAAGTGACCGACCGCGTTAGGCCTACACACGCCCTTCTCGATGGATGATATCCCACCGACCAATTAGAAGGCTCCGACGGAACGTGTATATGCGCCGATGGACGTAGCAGATACTATGGCGATGCGGATGAAGTGAAGCGGACCTGTACACGCCTGAGCTGCATAACAAGAAAAGAGCAAAAATTGGCAGAAGGGGTTAACAATATATTTTCTTTATTTTGCGATAGGCTAATCCAGGGTATGGTTGGTTGTTCGTGCGTCTTGGTTAATTGGTATTACGGTCTACGAGAAGCTAATAAGCTCGGGTGTTGTTGAAGGTCTGTATACTCTGGTCCGTTGAAAGTGATCGTTGCATGTGGTTTACACACTTCGTATATTGAGTGCTAGTGCTAGAGGTTGGGGAACGTTAAAAAAAAAAAAAAAAGATTAGATTGTGGTGTTATCAAAACGTAGATCGTGTATGTCCCCTGGGTGCCTCGCTAACTCGAAACAAATATGCAAATACAGCGTAAGAACCGGTCAATGTTAGAAAAAGAAGAGAACACACATTGGTTCATTTTGGGAGTGTCGTCTTGCTCTTGCCGTGTTGCTTATAGCAATGTGTGTTTGCTCTTAAAATATATGTCTTTGAAGCTCGCGAGCTGTTACTTTTAGCATCCGCCGTTTAAGCGACACACTTGGTCATCCATGTATTCATGGAGGTTAGAGGTGAGTGAAGGAAAAGCGCGTTTGGGTTGATACAAAACTAATTAGCCTAACGGTTTTCGAGTGTTCGCTTTCCTAATTTCGGACATGATTGCGTGGGTATCATAATCAGATTTTTAGCTTCTGCATTTAAAACAGACGCTTATTTATGTCCTCTCTGTGCATTTTGTTTGTTCCAGGACAAAATTGCGTGGACCATTGATATGTGTTTACTCGCTTTCATTCCCTGTCATTAAGTGTCACATGAATATGTCGCGTGGGAATCATTCGCAACATTCGTTTTTAGATTTACTGATATATCAAATGAAAAGTAATGACGCCGATTATATATGAGCCTTAGTGCAGAGATAAAACGTAACCTCTCAAATATGTGCACCTGTAAATTCGTAATAAATATAAAAGTTGGCTAGTTGCTTTAACACAGTAAGCAAGATGTGCGAAGAACAGACAATGATATGAACACAAGCACGGCAGCTTAATTCCAGTCTCGCCTCCGTGTGGCGCTATTAATGTTCATAGTGTAGAAATGATAATCTAGTAATGTGGCGTTATTAATTGCGGCTATTGAAAGTACAAAATGATTAAAATACCACTTATAAATACTTTGTTTGCCTAGGTATAACCGGTATTTGTTCAAGACAAAGTAGTGTCAATGTCTATTTTCCCGCAAACTACGAGGGTGCTAAACAATCACGAAAAATTATGAAAGCATACCGTTAAAAAGGGGGCACAGATAGCATTCGGAGCCAAAGTAGTTTGCTGTGAACCTAGCCGAGTAAGATTCAATCTTAAAAATCTTTCAATTAATTTTGTCTTGAATCCCAGGTTGTTTTTCCTCATTGCCTGCCTTCTTTCGTGAATCGTGAATGAATCATGAATCGTAAAGAAATTCGACATTTGAGTAAACAAACAGTCGGCATAACATC